TAACTTGATGATTTATTAATAAAAGGACTTATTTGTTATGAAATTAGAAACCTTAGGGGGCATAATGTAATTTCTAGAACCACAAAGGGTAATTTGTAATTTAAGTAAACCTTAGGGGGTGTGTTTGTAATTTACCCTATATTTTTTTACCATGGTAACCAATTCATAGTTACATTCAAAGTTTGGATCCACTTCTCAAGACCAACTAGAGATAAGGAGACCAAACTACTATTATTCCGAGAAAGAGTCAAATCCAAGCCACCATTCCACCTACTCAAATCAAATTCTTTTACGTCTGCTGCCCAATAATTATAATAATTAGATAAAGACATTTACCAATCAAATCGATTGATTTTCCTAACATGTACCCACAAAAAAACATGTTTTACTTCTGTGGATCAACTTGATTATAAATTTAACGCGGTCTTCTTGAAACATTAGTTCTCTCCATTGGCATTCCAAGTCATCAACCTCTCAAGCTTCACTCATCATATTCTTGTTTTGAATTTTTCCAATTAAAATAAACCACAATGGAAAAAGCAACATCGCACTGTCAAATTCGTCCGCCCACTTATGGCAAACTCATTACGGTTCTTAGCATTGACGGAGGAGGAATTAGAGGCATAATCCCCGGAATTATTCTCGCAAACCTAGAATCACAACTTCAGGTAGTGTCAATATTTTCAAGGTCATACATAAATGAGTTTGTAATTTGGTTGTTTTAATTTTGAAATTTGTACTTTGTGATAATTAGGAACTAGATGGCATGGACGCAAGGCTTGCGGATTACTTTGATGTAATTGCGGGAACAAGTACTGGTGGTCTAATAACTGCCATGTTAACTGCACCAAACAATGATAAACGACCTTTATATGCTGCAAAAGATATAGTGCCCTTTTATCTTGAGAACTGTCCAAAAATTTTCCCCCAAACAAGGTAAGAAATAAATAGCATGAAACTTAGATATATAGAGGCTTGATGGTCCGGTGGATGAGACAATCTCTTACCATTTGTGCTTTCCCTATTCCCTTTCTACGGTTATACAAAAAAGGGAAAAAAAAGAAAGAGAAGATACTTGATGGGTTTATATTCAATATCATGATACCGACTGTATATTCATACATATAGATTTTGTACAACTTTAATAATTATTTCTAAGTTTCACCACTATTTGAGCAAACATGGATTTTTAGTATGAGTAAAGCATTTGTTTCTTTATTGGAAACAACTGGAAGTGTCATGCTTTTTGTAAATTAATCTGAAAAGTTACGTATCTTGAAAAGTATGCCAAAAATAATTAATTAAAAGGGAAAGTAACTTGAAAGTGGTTGTTAGGGAAATTAATTACAAAAAAATAATAAATATTAACAATAAAAATCATAATTTTTTTAGGATAAATTACACTTACACCCCTAAGACTTGGGTTTAATACACATCATCCTCTGATGTTGTCATTGTAATTATTTAGACGGAATAAAAACATTAAACTCATACACTCTCTCTTTTCTTACTTTGCTTTACTTTCTCATTTTTTTTTCCTTTCCTTTCTTTTACTGTTTTTTTTTTCAATATAATTTTTTCTATTTTTTCTATTAGTAGTTGTTATATAAGCAGGGAATTGTGAAATAAAATTATTAACCACAAGGGTAAGAATGTAATTTTCAAAACATTAGGGGATGAGATATAATTGGACCAAGTCTAAAGAGATGTTAGTGTAATTTACTTTTTTTTTTAATTAATGTGTAATAATTTTTAAAAATTACCACTGATTGGTAATTGTCCCTAATTAAAAGGGGGTGCGGGTGCAACACTTTTTATGAATTTTTTGCACAGAAAGAATTGCACCCCCATGTTTATGTAATTAATTTTGATATCTTACCTTGCATAGCAATTTCCCCAAAAAGTATTCAAAAAATAAAATTATGATATAAATTCAAATTTAGCGTAGCCAAGGCAATAAATAGAAAAAATTTAATTCACACATTTCATTTTCAAGGTATAAGAAGTCATGGGTGAACATTGTTTGAAATGGGATCCATGCTGTGACTCTAAGTGGGACCTGTTCTGTGTGCATTTTCATGATCTAAACCTTTTATGTTGAAAGATTTGTTGAGCAGATCAGTAAGGTAAAAAATCAATTTTATAATTCATTGATGGATATATAATTATAACACATTTGTTTTAAAATAAATAAATGGCAAATATGATTTTTAAAATACATTATCAATTTATTTTAAGATAAATATATTCTAATCATGAATATGATTTAAAATTATTTTTTTACATGAATAACAAGTTAAATGACTAAAACCATGAAAATGTTTATAGGACAACATGGACCCACTCATGGCAGGGACCTTGGTTTAGATGTACTGTCGGTTTGAGTTGAGTGAAACTAAAAAATGGCCCACATTTTGGGTGCGTTGCACCAAGGATCCCCTAGAGTGAAATTTTTCTAAAGTTTCCTAGAGTGTTACATTGTGTGGTTGAGATTTACTGGCAAGTCACATCACACACAGTGTAGCACTCTAGAAAATTTTAGGGAAAAATCACTCTAGAGGATCCTTGCTCAGCCTCATAACCTTGCAAAGCATCCGCCATCATGTATATACTAATATAATAATCATATACAATATATATATATACAAAATAATGCTACAAATTTGTAACATTCGTTTTAAACCAAAATACTCATTAATATAACTTGTTATTTCAAAAAATACCAGTGCTACATAATCAATATAGTTTGCAAATCATTTTTCATACATGCCAAACCATCCTCTTTTTTTATTATTATGTTTGGATTATAAATTTATGGAAGCAAAAGAGAAGGAAAAAAAAATTGAAGTACATTTTGCTAATCTTTTTTCTGTCCCTTGATAAATCAAAATATCCAAACATAATATAAATGCAACAAGAAAATAAATAGTACTATGCAAACTCTCCTAATAGTGCCCTGCAGTTGTATCCTAGTGAACATGACTCTGAGAGAAACCATTCAAACAATTTGAATTTGATCCTCATCCAGAACATGCACAACTGGTTCATCACTTTCATTAGATTGAAAATGTTTACCACCACCACTAGCCTTATAATTGTCAATCTATATCCTATCCAAACATTCAATACATGCCCTGACCAGTTGTTTTCTGGGTTTGACCCCACCATTTTTCTAAAAATTAAGAGCTGAAAATGGTCTTTGATAAAGTCGAGTGTAGAAGAAAGATTCATAATAGGACTTAAGACTTGGTTTGATTTGATTTGATTTAGGAGCTGAAAAAACAAAAATTATTCAGGCTTATTATTGTCCTAACATTATCCAAAGAACAAGCCATGCATGAATCAAATATTCAACATTCATAGTTTCATTTAGCCGACATGTCCACAAATTCATGTGGTTTTTTCTATGCCACATACGGTGACAACCCCTTGCGATAAAATCACACCGTGCACAAGCAATTCAGATGAGAAAAATGAATGTCTAAAATAAAAGTAATGACATTTTAAAATTTGAAGGTAACCAAAAAGGAGAGCTGGAAATGGCATTGACAAACCTCGACTTCTTTAAACAACGGTAAAAACGTAACACAAATTAATTTAAAAATAGGACCCGTACACACGAGCATCTTAAAATTTTATGATCTCTATTCGTCTCTAAAATCATCTGGTAGGATAATTATCCCTTTTTAGTAGTGTCTAATAATTTCTGCCGTTAGATTACTCTTAAGAATGATCTAGTAACTTTATGCTCTCACAGTCCTGGCATAATTCCGGGAAGATAGGCAAATTGCTTCCATTGATATTGACAATTGGGTCAACAGCACAATCGTGACGTCCAAATCGTGACCTAGGTTGGTAATACTGTAATTTCTACATTTATACCATAAGAGTGGGGAAATCAACCAAGGGGCATTTCTTTTCTCCTGTCAGAAGTCATACATCAGGAATCTGTTCTTCGTTCAACATAAACTTCATTTAGATTCTCAGACGCTGATTTCTCCGTGGAAGGTAAATCTACAAGCATGCTCGGAGGAGCAAAGTACATGTGCAGTGACATCATACAAATTATTATCCCCAAGAAAAGCTGCAGCAGACAAAAAAGAAAGAAAAAAAATTTTCTCATCAATAATATAGATATAGTCTATAGAAAGAGTACAAGATTGTGCAAAGGAACTCTCACTCTCTCTCTCACAGATCCACACGAGTCCGAAACATCCAACAGTGGAGAGAGAACATAAAACAAAAAAATTTAATGGAAATTTACCTGCAATGTTGGCTTGAAATTGAAGAGGTAAATAGACAAAACCATTGTCAGCAGCATTGCCATTGACGTGGAATAAACCTGAAAAAAATAAAAAAATAAAAATAGTTGGTGCTAGAAATAGAGCAGGAGGTAGAATATCCAAGTTCTTTGAGGAGAAACATATTGATTACATTGCTTTTACATAAATGGTCCAAAGCCCCCCGAAAGGGTGGCCGTATTCCACACCAAGCATAGCATTATCCAAAATTGGAACCTCCATTAGCATTATTTAAAATATTCTGTAAGACAAGACGAAAATGGGATTCTGATTCCAAATAATTAGCATAATGCATTGTCAGATAAGAGTTATTCAATTTAATTTGCAGTCCATCTTTTGTATGGTTTCTGCTAGATTTCCAAATAATTAAATATCTCCACAAAATGCAACAAATAAAACAGAACTACATGCTAATAGGAGAAAAACACAACCAAGAGTATCCCAACAAACTCTCTCTTAAATTTGCATCCTCCAATATCAATTAGTTACAAACTTAAAATCAACACTATCTAGTTGCAAATGTGCATGTAACAAGTTTTAAAAAGTATATAAATGGAGGAATTACCTTCACAATATTGTCAGCATATTTCATTAACCATGAAACCAACAACCCAGTTGATCCCAGATTTAACACCACCAGCCATGTTGTAATACTGTAACCATTTAAGAGGCGTTGCCACCATGGTCCGTTCTCAAAACCACCTGTGAAATCGTCCAGGATAAGCCGTGCCATGTTGAAAATCACACCAAACCTGAGAAAGAATGTGATTATACAAAAATCATCATATGTGGGGGGGAAAATTACGTTACTGATAAATGACACATGCTAGTCACGTTAAACAAGTCCATTGTCTCTATTACATTCTTTCAAGGAAAAAATAAAAAAATAAAAAACTCATCTCCCTGCATTCACCTTAGAAGAGCTTTGTGAAAATGTCATCAGTTTTTTCTGGTAATCAAGCAAACAAATGAACCTTAACATCACGAATTTCCACTTCTGGTGAAGACAGTGATATTGTTACACTCATACAGTTATTAGGTCCAACATCTTTTGAAATTTCAGTAATACAAGATATCTGCATGAACTTTGTGATTGTGACTGTCGACTTGGAAGTTGGTAATGTATGATAGTAGAGCATCCATGTCACTTGCAGAAACAATTGCAGTGATCATCAGTAGAACAAATAAAATGATACCTACGTATACAATTGTACATTCTGCCAGTACAAGCTATCATTGTTCTTCTTCATCAGGAACTCTGTATAAACACCTGCCGATGCTGATAAACAAGCAGATAGGATTCCCAACATATACCCCTGGATAGGTGCTGAAAAAAGAGACTCACATGAAGACTCCCCACATCCTTTTACCTGTGATAATAAAAGAGAGAATTGATCATTCAACTTCAAGTACTCAAGTAACAATTCAGAATATAATCTAGATCAGCTGTTAAAACAAGCTTTATGGTCAATACTGTCATTTATAACATGACATTGTTAGTCAAAATATCCTTACACTCTATTTGGTTGGGGATTTGGGAAGGGAAATGGAAAATGTAGGTGAAATGTGAATAAAATATACTTACATTTCACCTAGTTTCACACCCCTTTTCCCTTTCCAAATCCCTTCCCAAATCTCCCAACCAAACACAGGCTTAAGAGATGGCTTTAATAGTGACATCCAAAATGGCACAAGACTGCACATATCAACAAAATTCTCCTGATGGTTTTCTTAGTGCCTGTTCTTTCCCCATTTCACAATTCTACCAGATAAACTATAGAAGAAATTTATAAGTAAATTAAAATGTTTATAAACAAGAACAAAACAACAACAACAATAAGAACAACAGCAACAATAATTGTACATTTTACATTAACTACCATATCTTTCATCATTCAAACAAAATCAAATCTTAAGAAATGCAGCAACCAAAAGACATATGCTTCTGACTTCTGCAACATGCACTGGAACTAGTCCTTGCAAAAGGTTTTTTTACATAAAGAGAAATTGTCAAATAGCAAAAAAAAAAGTACATTGGTTTCATTATCTGAATCTATGATCTCATTGTCTGGCAAAAACAGAGCCCTATTTTGAGGAGTATAACCCAAGGATCAGATCAGAAAAACTTCATTTAAAAGACTGGCCATATTAGAACAATCAAGCCAAAAAAACCAATCATCTTCCTGTTTTATCCCTGATAACCCAGGAGATGGGGGTGCCTCCAAATACCCCTCTAAGATAAATGAGAAGATTAACTGGAATATCATAAAAGTTTTCCGTTAGTACCTGGCTTGTGGTTGTTCCAATAGCCAATAAAACTATTGCCATCCACTGCAGATAAGACAGTTTCCTCTGGAGGAATAGCCTGCAATATGGGATCAACAAAATAATTTAAGAAATCCCAATGAGAAAGTAGACTAAGAATTCATTAATTAATAAATAAATAAATAAATAAAACACAGCAAGGAAATAAAAATATAAAACATGATAGTTCATATGATCCAGGCCATCAGGCAAATAGCAAGGAAGCACCTGAACAATATGCCAGTGGTGACAATCTTCAGATTACCCATTATCTGATATGTGGATGTATCCACATAAGTCAAGGTAGCAAACTGAACATTGTTATGAATTAGATATATGATTGAAGGAATGGGGTATAAACGCACACTCTTCCATTCTGTAGTCATCCTTCTAGGAGATGAATTTTGGCACTCTCTCCAAAGAAGCAAACCAGAAACTGCAAGCTGTAGTTTACAAACATAAGTGATATCAGTGGCTTACTGGCTTAAGGAAAGGGAAAACCAACTCTCAGCGAGGGTTCAAATAAGAGCAAAATTAGAACAATTTTCCAAACAAATGAAGTTTTATCTGCCCAAGATTTCAAATAAGATTCTTGTACCTTGAAAGCTTCAGCAAGAAATGGTACAGTTGCATAATCATATTTGTAGCCTCCATTGCTTTGGGAGAGAGTTGTCAAAATTCCCTGCCAAATAATGTAAAAGACAGGTCAACATATCAATTATAGCTTGCTTTATAAAATAAAACAATTAAAAAAGAACTCGCACTCTCAAATAGCACAGCAACTAAATAGTGAAATAGAATTCAGAAGCAATCAATTGAAAAACTTTAACTTCACCGTAGAAAATGTCATCTGTAAGAAAATTAACCCATTTTTATGTTTAAAGCTTGACTACAAATTTTTCTTCAAAAGATATTCCCTATAGATGTGGTGCATGCAAGATTTGGTATCATTGTCGTAAATTGTGACTTCTTACTTCTAAGCATATATTGAACAATTAACTAAAGAGAGAAAAAATAGTAAAAGAAAATATTTGAAGTCTATGGGAGTTTGCTATAGAATAGCATGATAAATCATGATCTAGGGGGTAAAAAAACTGTTGAAGAAGTGGCATATACAAGAGCTAAAAATAAAAGATGAAAACAACTTCAAAGAAGATGAATTTCTACAACGTGGTATACTTTCGTAATCTAACCTCCCCGCATGCAATGTCATTTCCTAATCTAACCTCCTACCATACGCCATTGATAAACTTTTATTCTTACCAAATTCCTCCCAGTCCCTCATGCATTTCTACAACCCCATGACTGATAAGAGCCTCTTCATGAAGAAGTCTTCCACCCAGGCAAACCACCTTTCAGGCCTTGGAATCTCAAACATTTGGCTCTGATAGATAAGTTCTAAACTACCAAGATAAGAAGCAGGTAGAGTCCCAATCTTACAACACAAGTTCACAGCTAAAACCAGTACATCTCCCGCCTCTGCTATAGAAATCCTCCCAATTTCTGCAAAGGTTTGTACATTGGGCAATTAATTCTTACAAAAGGTTGGTACATTTCTCATCCGATCAAAGTTTAACAATCTCTTCCTATGACTTTCCATCACACTTGGAGTCTGTAAGTAGCATAAATTAACTATATTGAAAGCTGTGAAGAACATTAATTAGTTTCAAATAGAACCTAATCAAGCAAACATTACAAAGCTTCTGCGACCTTGAAAGCCTAAATTTGAAGTTCTAAAGCATTTAATAAACTTCAAATCTGCAAGTAACATAATTTCCTCACAAAAGGAGAAAATATACTGAAAGTTGCAAACACCATTAATTCATTTCAAACAGAACCTAATCAAGCAAACATTACAAAGCTTCTGAGATCTCGAAAGCCTAAATTCAAAGTTCTAAAGCATTTAACGATCTTCGAATCAGCAAGCAACATAATTTCCTTACAAAAGGAGAAATTATACTGAAAGTTGCAAACAACATTAATTCGTTTCAAACAGAACCTAATCAAGCAAACATTACAAAGCTTCTGTGATCTTGAAAGCCTAAATTCAAAGTTCTAAAGCATTTATTGAACTTCGAATCAGCAAGCAATATAATTTCCTTACGAAAGGAGAAATTATACTGAAAGTTGCGAACAACATTAATTCGTTTCAAACAGAACCTAATCAAGCAAACGTTACAAAGCTTCCGCGATCTCGAAAGCCTAAATTCAAAGTTTTAAAGCATTTAATGAACTTCAAATCTAAAAGTAACATAAATTCCTTACAAAAGGAGAAAATCTACTGAAAGTTGCGAACAACATTAATTCGATTCAAACAGAACCTAATCAAACAAACATTACAAAGCTTCTGAGATCTCCAAATCCTCAATTCTAAGTCCTAAAGCATTTATATAAGCATATACATGTATATATATGCACAGAAACATAAGAGAATGAAGAACTTTTAGGTCAAAGTTTATACAGATATGTACATACAACCTGAGAACTAGTAAGTATGGTGAGAAGGGCTGCGACGAAGTACCACTCCATTCCTCTCTTCTTCTTCTTCTTCTTCTTCTTATGGAGCACCGATTTGCCAAAATGCCATCACAGATCGTCAGTGTTCTAACGCTTTTCTGCGTAACGTTCAGAGGAAAACGATGAGAATATCGAAGCTTGGCTTTGGTATAGACGATAGATCACAATTAAGAAATGGGCTGAAAGTTACAGGATTTAAAGACCCATGGACCTGACGAACTCAAAAATTAGACTCCCTCAGCCCATACCAATCGGCCCGCTTTGTCTCTGCCCTCGTTTGTGATGGGTTAATTTAAGGCACTATTCGGCATAAATTAGGTCTTGTTTGGAATAAATTAAAAAAAAGTTAAAAAGTCAAAAAATTACTAAAAAAGTCACTAAGACAATTATTATTTTTTCCTTTCAATTCAACTATCCAAAAAGTCAAAAAGTTAAAAGGGTAAAATTGTCATTTTGATTTTACTATAATATTTTATTACACATCTTTTTGTAAAAAGTTAAAAATTTATCCCAAATATACATCTTTTGTTCTCTACTTTTTTAGCCAAAAAATCAAAAAACGCATTTATATAGCACATCCCAAACAACTATTAAATAAGTACACTTATTTAAATGAGTATATTTATTTAGGTCACACTAATTCTCTATTTTTTTATGCATTTTTTCGTAAAAAGTTAAAAAGTATATCTATTTAGATCATCGCAAACGACCATTTTTGGCTATTTTACAATCTAGCTAAAAAAGTTGAGTTTAAGATAAATTTTGACTTTTTTTGTAGTTGATTTGATGATTGTGAGACAAAAAATAAAAATAACTATCATTTGAATGTGACATTTTATCTTATTAACAAAGGCCAAGTTTGGCTACTCAAAATAAGTACGCACTTTTTATCTTTTTATCTTTTTTCCATCACATCACCTCTCTACTTTTCTGTACATCTTTTCGTAAAAAGACAAAAAGTACACTTATTTAGGTCATCTCTATCCAAACAACTATTGATATTGTTTTGTTCTTTATTATAATTCAACCAAATAACTCATGTCAAACAATATCTATATCTTCTCCCTTTCTTTTTTCTTTTTTCTTATTTTAAAATTACAACTCTGAACTACTTATAGATTTAGGAAAAAAATTTGGCACAAGTTGCAAATTTTGACAATTATATAATTATTTTTTTAGTAGGTTAAAGGAACGAGAGGAGATAGAAAAAGACCCAAAAACACGAAGAGAGAGATATATATGTTGGTTGGTTGGAGAAGAAAATGTTAATGTGAAGGCAGTTATTTTGAAAAATGAAACAGAATTGAAAGGAACAAGGGACACAGATCAGTTTTGCATCAAATACATTTAACAGGGCAATTTATTACAGAAACTAAATGAGAATAATACATTATGAACGTATGCCCTGTATGGATAGGTTTTTTTTTTTTTTTTTTTTTTCAAACTAATTTTCATTTGGCTTTTGTTTTTATTTTTTAACCAAATTTTAGTTATAGATTTTCATTATAAAAAAAAAAAAAAACCCAATAGCTCAAAAAAGTTTCCAAAATGAAGTTAATTGAAAGAAATCTAACAACTGATAACCAAAAAAAACAAAAAAACAATGAAAAAACAGGGCAATTGTCTTTTTGAATAGTAGATTTGACTATTCAAGTGATCACCAAAAAAAATTTAAAAATTATGAATAAACAGATTCATTGTAACATCAAACATGTATAGAAAATCAAATTCAAGAGAGAGAGAGATGAACAATCCATACCTGATATGAAAATCCTTGGAGACAGGAGGGATTTAAATTGGACAAACGCTGATTTCTATTGGATTCTTAGAAATCCAATAGAATTTCAGCAATGTCCATTGTAATCCAAGCAGAAAAAGAATAAAGAGAGCTAAATTTCCACGAACCTCTTAATAATTATACATATAGAAGAGAGAAACCATCGTAAAAAATATATATATAATAAAAAACCAAGAAAAACAGAGATGATTCAATCTCAAAACTGCCGAAACGGATCAAAAAGGAAAACTGAAATTCCGACGGAAAACTGTCAAAAACAAAACATTTTTTGAGGGGTTTTTTTTTTTTTTTTTTGGGACAAAAACAAAAAAGTGTTTTGAGTGGCTTCCCTTTGGGAATTTTGGGATGGTATGTTTGTTGTTGACCACCACCCTGAACTTTGTTGTGGCTTGTTTTTGGAAGTCAAAGGGCAGGGGGAAGGGAGGCTTTCACCGTTGGAATAACTCCGTCTTCTTTGGAGGGTCTCACTATTTGAACATGTTCCCGCTAATTTCGTCTCTCTTTTATTTTTAGTAATCCCACTCACATTTTGGTGTTTTTATACTATGGTGGATCATGGGTAAGTTTGCTTCAGGTTGCAAAAGTACAACTGAATCAAATTGACTTTTTGAAAAGTAAGTTAAAAGTTTTTTTTAAATTTTTTTTTTAAGAAAATGTATATAAAAAATAGAGAGTTGATATGATCTAAAAAAATTAAAAAATTTACTTTTAATCGTATTGTCAAAATAAGTTGAAATCGTAATTTTATTATAAGTGAGTTGGGGTGGGTTTGGGGTTTGTTTTCTAGCATTTTTTTGGTTTTTTTTAGTAGCTAAAAAGCTAGTGTTTTTGAGAAGTTGATAAAATTGTTGAGTGAAAAATTGATATATATATTAAGGGAAGTGTTGTCAAGAAAAAATAATTAAAAAATACGAAATACATTATAAATATTAATAATTAAGATTATAAACTTTATTATTAATTTGTAAGTAATTTTCACTGGCACAGTGTTAGTATATTTGTCCCATATAATATACTTAAAAATATAATATTTGTGAATTTTTTTAAAAAAAATAAGGAAATACCAAAAATATAAAATATAAGTATATTTCATATTCTTGTGTATTTATTACTTTTTTAAAATATTTTTTTACAAGTAATTTATTTTTTAGATATATTTAGATTAAGTGCATTTAAAATGAAAAAATTTACTTTAAATATTAAAAAAATTCATTAAAAATAAAATTTAAATTTCAGAAAAAGTAATCAAAAGTAAAAAAGGTGTAAAAATTATTTAATTTGTAAATTCATTTTCAAGGAATGGTTAAATGTAGTGGTCCACCACAAAATATAACGTGCCACGTGGCGGTTGAATGAAGTTGTTTGGGTGAGTCGCACCACGTTAGACTTTAGACCGCTTCACCCGGAGGCGTCACGGCGAGTGACGACCACGATGGTGACTTTGTTTTTCTTTTAAACAAAAAATAAAATTCGAAATTTAAAAATATTATAATATTTTTATATAAATGTGATATTACTATGAGCCTTGCATTATGCGAATCATTTGATAAAGTTTTTAATAAAATTTTTAGAGTATCAAAAGATTTTTGTATTCAAAATGATAGAATACGGAGTCCTAGTAAACACCATCACTTACGGTCAATACAAATGTGCCATCTGGTAAAGATCTTCTTTACTTATTTTATTTACAAAATAAAGTCAATGTATCATTAAAAAAGTAAGGAAAAATTAGCTACAAGTGGCACAAATTAAAAAAATAAATAAATGTATTAGAGCTCTAATATAGAGCTTTAATCACGGTTCTAATGAGTTGATAGTGGATCTCATCCACTAATGATGTGATGTATATATTCTTTAATTTTTTTATTGCTTTCTGCCACGATAGCGAAACTCTCATTAAAACTCCATCATTAGAGTTCTGAATCATGATTGTTAAAAAAAATTACATTAGATATGAAATTTTTTTGAGTGTAGGTTTAAGAGAGAAAATTTGTATCTGATATTAAAAAAAGAATTGACACTAGAACTGACCTGCATTCTATGAAAATGATTTTTTTTTATTTTTATTTTTTACTGTCTAATTGATTGATTTTTTTTAAATAGGTAAATTATACTACTCTCTCTTAAAAATTAGAGTAAATATAACAAGTTTGATATAATTATATTATTTTTTTTTCAAATTTTAATTTACATAATACTTAATCATCTTTTATCAGTAATATATTAGTCATATATGAATAGAAAAAAATAATATTATTATCTATTTTACACTAAAATATATATTTACTCTTTTTTGT